TACGCCGCTGCAAACCACCTGAGACAAGATAGATTGCCTAGAGCCAGAGTAAATACTGCCGAGCAAGAACAAGTCGCACAAAGAAGAAGACACACATATACACTCTTCCTCGTGGCCGGCGCAGCCAATTTATTCCTTTTGAGGCCTTCTTTTCAAAAACGCCCGGCCTCGTGCTCACCTAATGCCTCACAAAAGCTTACAACTTGTGCAAACTTTGCGCCGGCCGCAAGTTGTGCACTCCGTTGAGGCTTTTGTTATAACAAATAAATCTCGCCTGAACAAGAAGTTGGTGCGACTCAATTTCCTTAACAGTTGAGCAACTTAATTACAACAAAACTGCCTTTATTAGAATACAATGGTGTTGTTTATAAATTGAATAATCAAAATTAACAACAGTAGACAGTTTTGGTTTCTGTAATTAATGGATGATTTTTTCCCTCAATATTTTATTCAATCAAATATTTTTATCAGCGATTCTCTTTGCAGCAGAAAGAGCAAGAACTTTGCATAAAATCTACATAGCTGCCTGATTGATTGAATAGCTGGATGAACAGGCCTCTCTCCTTTGTTTGCCTTTATTAACTCTCTCGCCTCGGTGACTGACTTTTAGCCTTCGACAAAGTTCACCCGACAAAAGGTGCCAGAGCTGCTGGCTTAACTTTCGAATTAGTGAAGTTTTTAATCCGGTAGAAACTCCGACGTCACCGTGCCTTACTGGCGTCATAAAGAAAACCGGGAAAAGAAGCGTCATTTTTGCGGCCCCCTCGCATGAGAGGCGATATTACGGAATAATTTATTGCTATCTCTGTTGCGTGCGTGAAGAAAACAGGTTTTGCCCCTATTTTCCCCCAAAAACGAGTTTTGAATCAAATAAATTTTGACATAATTTCTAGAGTTATTAAATTTGACCACGAATGTGAGTGAATTCTATCCATGAAAAATCTAGGAAATCCACATTAGAATTGAAAAATATAAGAGCATGCAAAATATACAAATTTAATACATTTTTATAACTACAAACAAAACAATTTAAATATTGTTAAGCAAATATTTGTTTTAATCAAAAATTTAGTTTGATTAATAAATATGATAAATATTGTATAATTAATTTAATATCTCTTTTTTCTTGAAAGCAGAAGTATGGGCACTCAAGGAAACGTGCTTGAATCCAAGTTGTGTTTGCTCATATTAAAATATTTAATCGTTTAATTTGTTAAAATGGTTACATTATGAGATGAGAATGTTTAAATTCTAAATTTTTTACAAATGAACTTCTATTTCATTATTTATGATTTTCAACACATAAGTGCCTCTTGTGGCCATATTTCATTTTTAAGTTACAGATAATAAATGTAAAACGTTTGGCAGCGTAATTATGTACTTTAGCAGACCAACCAATTGTTGGCGTGGCGCTGATTGCAGCCGGGATTTGCACTCCCCGAGCGCCCGCCGCCGCCGAAACGCTGCAGCTCGTTATTTATTCTGATTGATAGTGATGTGTGCGGTGGCGGCGGCGTTTCGTAATGCCGAGAATTCCCTCGCACACTTACACATCCTCAGTCGGTTATATCCATCCAGTCAGCCACTCGGCTGGTTCTTGCTGACTAGCACCATTTGTTAAGCGGCTCTTTGTTCGCCATTCAAGAGCGCGTCAGCAGACGCGACGCGTTCTTCGCCATTAATTATGCGCAAAATCAGAACAAGTGGCCCCACTTGGCAACTCGCATCGAACCTCTTTTGCTAATTTGCACGTTTTTGCGAGAGATGAGCTGTCGTTAATGTTGTGTCAAATTAGCCCCGGGGAAATGAGAATGAGTCAAGTCGGGCCGCTTTTCGCCAGCCACGTGTCGCGCAGCCGTTCCGCCCGACCGACCGGCTTTCAAATTAGTCGCTCGCCCATCCGCCCAGCCAATTGAAGAGAGAGATGAAAACTTAATTGGATTTCTCGAGGAACGCTTTGCCCTTCTCGGAAGTTTCACCCTTGCTTTTCGTCAAGCGAAACTTGATTGAACACTCTGGCTGATTTTGTGCTCGTATGAATTCGTTGCCCTATTCACTACTTGGACGTGAAAATTATGCAAAATTAGCAGCTGGTAGAAATCACATTGATAAGAGATTGTTCTTCTTGTTATTTATAGAATCTTCAAGGTAGAAAATTAAATAATGCAAATAATGAGTTTTAATTCTAAAATAAATTTAAATGTGTATTCGTATTATTAATATTCTACAAAGTTTTTACAACCTAATTAAAATTTACAGCATAATTCTGCAATTTTAATTATAAAATGTTAAAAGTTAAATTTAATTCATTCATATTTGTACTTTATTTTCATCATTGCGCCAAGAAGTAATGAGATTATTTTGATTTATTATGCATACGAAATCATTGAAAGTTTTTGAGCGATGAAATTAATAATATTTGTTTTTTTCTTATTTTTATTTTGTGAAATTAATTCATCACTCGTAAAGATTACGCACAGTTTGTGATTCTCAGCTTGTAATTTTGCAACCCTGATATCATCTCAGTCTTTCCACTCCGATACATATATGGAAATTCGCTGAAATATTGTCATGCATACGCCAAACTTTTGAACTCTTCCACATTTCTGCACGTGCATAAATTTTGTTCCCCACTTGGGCGGTAACGCTGCTGCTGCTCCCTTGGCATTCGCAGCCTCTGTTTTGCATGACGCTTTTGCGGTGTAGTTAAAAATTCTCATTCTGCTGCAAATTGCTGAGCCAAACACACACTCGAGACTCGGCGGCGGGGCCCGCCGCTGAATAAATCCGCGTTTCTTCCTCAAGTGCTCCGTCGCTTTCAGACAAGTTATTTTTAAACGCACTTGCCCTGCTGGAGACGAACGAATTCCTCTTCTCTCACTCGGCGCCGTTGCTCTTTTTTTCGCCCAACCATGAAACGAAATTAATCGAAGATCGAGTCGATCCGACGAGCGTTGATTTTTATTGGGTCGTTCATTGCTTAATTAAATCCATAGGTGGACGTTACTTGGCGTCCCTCTATTCGTGCGTGTTTTTATGAGTCATTAAAACCGCACGCGCAGCTTCTCCACATCTTCTTTGCTTTTTATACTTTTCCTTTTTGGACCAGGCAACGGATCGTATTGCATTGATCCTCGCGCTTGTATTGATTCAGCAGGGCCGAGAACCAGATGAAATGAGAAGAAGACGCTCGGGGTTCGTCTCTCTCAGCACAAATGTTTAATGACACCGTACCTCTGTGGCTTGCCAAAAGGAGAAAATATTTATCTCTCTCCGGGGAATGCTGAAAACAGGAATTAAATATCAAAGGCGTTGCGTTTTCTCGTTAATCTTCCTTTATCAAAAGGCGAAGAAACTTTGTTGAAAAGGAGAACTTGACAGGTGGACATTTGTGAGGAGGATTTATATCATTCTTTAATTCCACGTTCGAATTGATACTTTGACAAAATGCTAAAACATGCTAATAAATAACTCACAAAATCCAGCCAAACATGAGCCGCTTTTTATATAAACTTTTTCATAACTAATTTATTTTTTATTTATTTTTTCCGCTTTAGAAATTATGTAATTTTCTGATTTAACTAATCAATTTAATCTGGATTTAATTCTATAATTTTTTTCAGATTATTAATTATTTGCGCGCAATAATTTGCGGTATTCCTGTTGGCCGAAGCCCCAAACATCCGCCCTTTTAGCCAAACCGTAAATAAAGCTGTAAAAAGCTAGACTCTCTTGAGCGATATCACCGCCGCGCTTCGACCACGACCGCTTCATTAAGCGTGCGCGGGGCGAGCACTTTTTCTTTCGGTTTACAGCCGCCTTTCACACAAACCCATGTTTTTATATTTGGAGGCCTTATAAAGCTCAGAAGGGAAATAATTCGGAGCGGTGCTGCTGCAAAATTTATCTCGCGAAAAGGAAGCGTCTAATATTTATTTTATAGGGACTCGAAATCCCTCTTTGACCCGAAGGAAACGCATACATCAATTTTCCTTGGCAATAAAAATACTCGAGCAGAAAAGGAAATCGTGCTTTTCGTCAGGGAAAACATTGTTTTAACGCTCTCAAGAGAACGTAAATTCCCTTCGCTTCCTCGACTGAAAAGAAAAACATACCAAAAGAGCGCCTTTCTTTTTACGTCTTTTTCCTTAAAAAATTAGTCCCTAGCTGTTGCCAGAGATGAAAGTTTTAAGTGATGAGAAGAGGCAGGTTGAAAATTACGCTCGATTTCGGGGCGCCGGCGTCTCTTGTTGCCGGATTAATTTTAATACGTAATTCGTTGGCGCCAAGATATTGCCGACGCAAATCTTGCAAAGTGAGCGTCGGGATTAGAGAGAGGCGCGCAGATCGTTGCTGCCGCGACCCTAAACACGTAAAACATGTGTATAAATTAATCATAACACGCGTGAAAGGAGGATTAGAAATTTAAATTTATCACCTTGGTTCCCAGAAGGTTTGAAACTAATTTGTACTAATTTTGAGCGTAGGATTTTTTAAACATCAGTTCATTTGATTATTGTATTAAATTTTTAAATTAAAAAATCTCGGTTGTCAAATTTAATTTAATCTTGTAAAAAATTTAAAACGTTCAGCAAAAAAATATTTCTGTTTAATTTTGGTTTCCTTTTTTTTCAATATATAATCTTTTTGACATTAAAAGTTCAAATATAATGGATGCTGAATTTTCAAAAGTTGATCAACTCAAAGCAACTGGCGTCTGCTGCGGTTTCATATTCGTGGCCGCACATTTGCATTTTCGCAAACACAGTCGGCTTAATCCTAACGACAGACACACTCGTGCAGCATCTTCCTCCGTACCCGAGTCCTAAACCGCAACAAACACCCCGCGTAAGTCGAAAGACAACAACCCCATCCATCTTTCCGAGCCGCTCCAATCTGCGCCGAGCCGCAGCTGCGGTGTGTCTTATTTTGCTTTCCGGGTTTTCCAATTAAAGTTGCAAAGAGTTAAAATGCGCCTGCAAAAGTTACGCGGCTTGCAGATGAGCCTCGCGCGATCGAGTCGATGATACAGCTGGCGAGAGTGTGAGACAAACCACCCAACTGGTGCCCGTCCGGCTCCTCCTCCTCCGGGGCTATTTCTGACTCTGATATATAGACTTTTAATGCAGAGGGCACTCGTGATTATACACTCGCTCAGTCAGTCAGTTGGGCCAAAGCAATGATGAGCTCCGTCCGAGACGCTTCCTCTGTGTGCCTGCTAGTTGATAAGCACGATGACAAGTGTTTCCGATTGCGATCGATTTCGCTGACCTGACTATCTAACTCTTTCCTTCGATGTCTGGCGAATTGACTGCAGAACAGCTTCAGCAGCTTTACTTATGCAGCCTCTTGCTTGGCAGAAAGCGGTGAGTACTTGGACCACCAATCAATCATATGCAATCAATTGCAGTGCATCTCTTTCTTCTCATTTGAAGATTTGTGAAAAACAATCAGAGGAATCCTGCAACCACATAGATAAATTCAAAGTTGGCGCATGTTTTTGTTTATAAAAAAAATTGGCTTTGATTGAATTTATTAATTTTTTACTCAAAATTTAAAACAGAGCATGCACTAAAATTCTCGCTTTGTGTTTGCTTTTTATCTAATTAAAACTGTGAATTTACTTTAGTCTTCATAAAATCAACAAAATATCCAAATCTTTCAGATTATTATGGTGTTCTGTTTCTGATTTCAAGCTAAAATTTAGGCAATATACCATTTTAAATTCAGATTTTTTGTTTATTTCATGGAAAGAAATCTCTAATTTATCTTAAAAATTATTTAATTTTTTTACTTTTTTAAAAAAATTATTGTTGAAATTGATATTAAATATATTAGCATTTTGCACAATGTTTTTGCGACGTACGCTTCAAATGTTTTTCACGGCAAATCTTTGCTCCCTTTGAAAAGCGGAAAATTCTACTCTTTAAAAAAATAACAACTTTATATCGACGTTAACCAATTGACGTGAAATCAAGCGGCAACGCTTTTCTCTGTGTCGATTCAGTCCGCCGGCAACTTTTCGCGCGTCACAGAACACTCGAAATGGGTGTTTTCGCCCGTTGGTAATCATCAAAAACCGAAAGAGAAGCGTCGAGGGTGGCGTCTCTTCCTCTTTTTTTCCGCTTCCACTTCTTCCTCCTTCTTCTTTCACGCCTAATTTACTCAACAAACTTGGCACACAAAAATCTCAATCTACGCGAAATAAAAATTTAGGCACGCGGCGCGCATAATGCGCCTCAATTTCCACCTCTCCAACTTTTCCGCAGTTTCATCTCGCGCTCTCCGTCGCTTTATAACACACTGGTGGTGCGCCCGGCGGAGAAAAATAAAAAGAAATTCAGGGGCGCCGAGCAAATTGTGCCATAAATATTCAGCCACCCGAGGAGAGAAAAGTCGCAGGGCAACTCTCGCACAAACTTCATTTCTCGGGCGCAGTAACAATCCCGAACGAAGATTACATTAAGCGCCTCATAGAACCTCCTCGCACATACATAGGGCCTGCAAACACATGTTGTCGAGGAAAATGGCTCTTGACGCCGGTTGGGGATCGCCCGTAGAGCAGAACAAACAGCCCGGGGACACGAGGGCATAAAATATTCTATAAAAAGAAAGGGTCCTTCGTTAATTCTTAATGAACCTCATCCAAATCTGGATTTCTTTCTTGCTCTTCCAAACAATTTTAAAAGGGGTCAACAGCTGCAAATTCTCTGCGGATCCATATTTTAGTCTCTTTAATTTTGTTTCCTTTTGCAGATCTCTTTAAGTTCCCATGTAATTCATTTAGTTTAATTGAATCTAAATTAATTTAACTAATTAAAAATGTGTCAGTTTTCAGAGAATATTAAATTTCTTACCAAACTTTTGTATTTGAAATTCCTCCACATTCCAATTTAAATGGAAATGATCTTGTTCTCGCATAAGATGAAAGTCATTTCCACAAAACCCATTCATGAACTTATTTCTGGACGTGGTGACAAGCTGAAACATACAAAGTCGCTCGGCCTCTCAAGAGGATTAAAGCCCATGCACACTTGACGAGAGAAAAGTGGAGCAGAAAAAGAAGAGAATTATCATAATCTTGCGAGCTCTGCGCAGAACGTGAATACAGAGAGAAGAGAAAATCTGCGACGAAGCGCCTCTTTGCCTCTGAATGCCGTTTGTCATTTGAGCTACAGAAACCAAACCAGAGGCAACTTTTGCTGATAAACCGCAAAATGTGTGTCGTTCACCCCAGCGCACACCAAACCGAAGCAAGGTGACGCATTTCACGTGTGGCTTTTAGAAACTTCGGCCTGCTTATCGGCCCGAATAAAGAAAAGCACGTGCGGCGCCGAGAGGGCCATAAAAAACTTATCTCTTATAGAAACGCTATTTTCGATTTGATGATTCACCAAAATTAGACTCTTGACTTGAGTCTTCTAAAAAGAGGCTTGATCTAAAAAAAAAGTTAAGAGAGCGGATGGAGCATGTCTAGATTAATTTTGAAAAGTTCTAAATTCATCTTGGAGGATTTAAAGTTCATTCTTGCAGTGGAAAACAAAACAGTGAATCTCTTATTCTTAAAACCTATGCAAAATTAATATAAACAATTGGATTGGAACGTATGTTATTTCCAATAATTTTGGATGTTGTTTTATATATTTCAATTTCACTTCAAGAAAATTTTCTCTCTCCTTATTTAATTTGCTTATTTGACTTATTTCAAGCAATAAGAAGCCTGTATTTATTTATTTATTTATTTTGTAACCCCAGAAGGGATACAAAAATTACATTTATAAAATGTCATTAAAATCTATTTGATAATTTTCAAAGTGAAATGCGATCACCAAATTAAAATTTCCGCCTGCCTTTGAAAATTTCCCGCTTCACTGACTATCAAATTACAAAGACGGTTGCTAACGTACTCTATCATTAATATTCAAACGGAACAATACCTCTTCCCGTTGGCAGCGTTTGCCGAGACACAAATTAATTTCGCTTCGCACATCTCGCACACGATTATACTTTCTTGTTAAATGCCGTCTCTTTACAATATTCCAAGAAAAGCACACGCAGATTGTTGACTGAATTCTGGTCTGAACCCTTTCGGCACTTCCAGCTCAGCCGAGAGGAAAGCTCGATATTTTGTCCCGGCGCGCTCCGAATACATAACAATAAGGGGAAAACATCATTAGTTGTTTGCGGCGCCTGTCATGCTGTATTTGTAGGAAGCCTTCCTCCCGCCTCACCTCGACGCTGCTTTTTGTTTTCACAGTCGGGATCAATTAAAAGGCTTGACAAAAAAGAAAGAGGAGTCATCAGTGGACAAAAAAGCATACGGCAGAGAAACAATAAGAGGATCTTGGGCCTCCTCCTCCTTCTGCCACAATAATATATCTCTCTGGCAATTGGGGCTGTATAATTTGGCTCCTTTGGCGCAGTCCAAATCATTAATCGCCGCCCCAAACGACGGCGGCGCACATGGAAATTAGCCTAAGGCCATTAAACGCGCGCCCCTAACCAGCACTACGCACGCACGCCGGTGGAAATAAAAAGTTAAATCAAGCCAAGTAAACAAACTCGAGGGCAAACTATTAAGCAGCCATAAAGTCACACTTTTAGGAGTGTCACTTCTCGAGCTAATGGTTTGTGGACGATTTGCTTCCCTGGCTCCATTTTATGGTGTGACTAATAAATTTCTCCTTTTTCTGCTTGAAAAATTAACTCACCATGTTTTGAAATAAACAATAAAAAGGAAAGACAAGTTTTTATAAATAAAATTAATTCATATTAAAATTTTCAGGTCTAGACGCCGAAATTTAATAATCTCTAGCAAAAATTAAATCTAATTTTCTTTATGGTCTCCAGGCATATCAGAATGAAATTTTGTCGTGTTATAACCAAGTGCTGCAGGTTAATAAAAATTTTATTACCGAGCCAACTCGGCTGAAAATCCGAAATGAAATTTTCAAAGAGGAGAGACGCACCCCACCTCTTTTTGCGAAATCACATTAAATACACCAACATCCGGGGGCAAAGGAAGCTTCCCGGAAAACGCTCCTGGTTGAGCAAAGCCTTGCTTTTCTCTTTGACGCTGCATGGTTTTTGCTCCGACCCTGCTCACGGGCAATTAATTAGAATTTATACGCCTGCGATGCTCGGTGCAAATTAAATCCGGCGCGCACAACGCGGCCAATAAATTACGCGGGCAAAACATCTTGATGCCCTTCTCGGCTTCGATTGCGATAAAAGGCGCCTCGGGGCCGTAAATTCCAATATTGCTGGAATCAAAGAAGTCCGACCGCTCCCCACGGATCCAATATCACAGAGAAACACCACTGCGGCGTGAAGCTATGCGGCCGGAATGCATTTTGATATATTTATTGGGCCTCTCAATAAACCGGCACGATCTGTTAAAGCAAATAATTCTGCTTTCTCTCCATTATGGCAGATCTTATTAGATATTGGACCAACTGTTGACGCAAGCGAGGCCTCAATTTGTGCTATTGTGAGGATAAATTATATGAACGTTGGTGGGCGGGCTATTTCTAGCCCCTGTAATTAGATCGCCCGCCCTTATTGTGGGCTCGTCCGCTCGTTCTCGAGCCCCAGGCCTACGTTAATTGCGTACAGTAATTGCCGTTCTGAGGTGCAAAATGGACAGCTTTTAATCAAAAGAAAATATCTCTAATGGTAGTTTTAGAACTTGTGCATTTTCAGCCTTGCTAAATAAATTCAATTTTTATCTTCACTGATTTTGGATCTACAAGTTCATTGAATTACATAAACTGAAATTAATTAATACAGTTTTTTTTTTTTTATTTTTGCTTATTTTTCCACATTGTTACATTAAACTGTTAGACAAAATGGCACCACCACTAACAAGAATTTTGCTTAAACTTCCGAGATTAATTTCACATTGAGTGTTTACATTATAATTTGTTAATCAGAATTTAATTCGTCTTAAAAATTATTCAATCAATATTCTCAGATATTTACAATGATTTGTTAAATTAAGTGCCACGTTTTCTAGATTCATAAGTTTATTGCCGTATTTCCAAGTTAAAAAAAAGTTAGTTTTTCTAGCAATCCTATTTTATTACGTGGACTCTGTCAATTTTTCTGCCGCATACAATTGTTAGCGACATATGTATGCAAACTCCTAATTGCCTCTCACGTGCATGAAAGGCAAAGGAGCAGCAATTGTGTTCAACGGGCGGATCACGTTCTCGAAGCAGGAAACAAAAGAACTTTGTAATTTTTTTTATTGTCTCGTCGCATGCAAACGCAGCACGCCACTCTCTAAAGAATGGATTTCAACTTCCTTTTCGTTTTTTCCCCGCGTACATCCAATTCGCCATTTTCAGCATAACGACGAGACGAC